GCCTCCAGGATCTACTCATTCCTAATCACTGTAGCGTGTGATGAGGATGAAGGCAGACAAGAAATTGCAAATGAGGAATTTGCGACAAAATATCTTTCAAATGCTACTTCTCATATTTTCACAGAGTGCAGGCAGAATGGGAATGATTGATTCATTTAACATCAAAGTACACTGAGCAAATCAAAGGGAGTTGCCTACCGATGACACAAAATGCCGATTGTGCAAAATTCGTCAAATGGGCACAATGTGATAGAATTATATGTGTGACAGATCATCCATCCCACGCAAATGTGTCCTAGGTGGGAAAGGGAAGATTTGGCTGTTAAATGGATGGCAGTCATAACAGACCGCAAATTGCTGAAAATTTAAGCAGGGGATATCATGAATCACGCTTTTCTACATTGATAATCTTCTGTGCATTTGTAATGGTGTAAGCCGCTAAAGACTTAGCGCCTGCAGATGGCGTTACTATAGTTCTCATTGTGGATGGATTGGCGCTAGCAGCACTCTGTCTGATCAGATACATTGCTTCGTGCTGCGGATGTGATAGGCTACTGAAAATCGTGAGTAGACATGGAGAGATGAATTAATATCAAGTGGAATGATCAAATTAGTAACATGTGTTTTCCTCTTTTCCTACCAGTATGCCCTCATTTTGGTTATTCTACTCGTTGCACAAATATTCGCTGTTGCAAAATCAGTAGTAGACTTGTCAAACCAATGCAATCACTTCTCGCGTTACACGGGATGGCAGAATCGAAAGGTAACATGTCAAAAGCTGTCCGGAAATTGTTAAGGGGGGTGCAGATTAGTAAATTGCTAATTTCCTTTTTTTGCTTAAAATGGCTTTAGCTAAATGCCTACGCAATTTCTGCATTCTATGACAGGCAAAACCGTTCTCATTCTACCTGCGTTGCTACGGTAATTTCCGTAAGTTCAAGAACATTTTGCAGCCTCTGTTCATGCCTTTGTACCTATTTACTACTTTGACATTCTTTTACTAAAATTGGTTACCGATTCGTTACCACCATGTTGCAACCAGACGTCTGGTGCTTGTATCACAGGTCAAGCCAAACCTTCTATGGTGGAGGGATGCAGAGAAAAAAATTGTCAAATTGACCGCAGACAATATTAAAAATTTAATGCGTTTCATTGGCGCGATTCTGTTGCAGGTGAGATCCAAACATGTACCTTGTACTACCACTAAATAGATTGAAGATAAGGCATTCCCTGCAGTTTACTCCCCTCCCAATTGTGATACTGGTGATTTGCTTGTGTACAAGTGCTCGGGTTAAAAGAACATCAAAGTAACTGCTATAAGAACCGCTATTACTTACACGTATTCCCTCTTCCTCGTCAATATTCGTCTATTCTTTATAAATAAAACAAAGATCCTCTTCATTTTTGAGTTACTCTGTGATACCTAGAGTAACTGCACCACAAATGGAGCAGTTGGTGTCTGAGCCGCCATTAAGTAGTCCATTTGTCGCACAGATTGGAGATAATGGACCTCATAAATGCCTTATGACTCACTCATTGAAGTCAGCCTCATTCAGAGCTAGCATATTTCGTATTCCAGGGGGGTTGTAGCATTTGCAGGTAGGGAATTGCGTGGAGGTGGTGGGGACTTCCCACTAGACTAGGTTGTAGATGGATAAGACGTTGTGAAAAGAGTTGGTCTTGGTTAGAAACAAATTGGCCTCTATGCCGAGGAGTGTTGAAGAGTGATGTTGGGAGGTCAGGCACAAGTGGAGTATTTCCACAGGAGGTTAGTAAATACAGAGAAATTGTCCGCCAGCCTCCAAGTAGGGCCTACAATGCACTAACTTTTGGAAGACATTTTCACACGCTTCAACATGTCACGTGACGACCCGTCTTGCCGGTGATATTTCAAATTGCTTCAGAGTAAAGCAGATGGCCTTGGCCAATATGTGTGCGAAAGCTGACATAAAATGTAAACTTCAGAATGGATTGGGTGACAGTTCTATCGGTTTCAAAGGATGAACATGCTTTTGCATAGACTGCTGCCTCTGATAACTAAATACGTGAGATCCAATCAATTAGTTGATTATTTACAGGTACTTGTGCAGCACATTCTGCTGAGCTTAGTCAAATTTGCTAACTTGATAAGAGTTAACAACCTTCTCCTGAAAGTCACTTCCGTTTTAAATGAAGAACTGTGGGACTGGATAGGTGCTTTAATGGGAAGTATTATTGGGATTTGAAGAAATAAATAGAGGGATCTCTTTTCAAAGCACATAAAACCAAAAAGTGTAGCTGGAACTAATGGTTACACAGCTTGGGGCTGAGGAAAAAAAGGCAAAAAATGTTGAGATGAATGACAAGTGGACACCGGAACAAATTAATGTGTGGGCGCACGAATAACAAAGAGAGGGACGGATGGATGAATGGGTAGGTGTATTGATGTATTGATGCGGGATGCAGTAGGGTTCAATAAGTGATGCTAAAGCCGCCTTCAGAATTGCCCAGTCACTTCAGATTAACTCGTAGAGACTACAGTCGCACTCCAGATGAGTCAATATTTGTTATATAACCAAATGCCTTACAACGTAATTCGACTCCCTTTACCTGCCTTCTTCGCTCCTAACTCAGCTAGCTATCGCATACGTGCACGTACACTCGGCGGCCAAGAATGACATGATCATAGACGAATTGTCTACCGATAACTTGTACGCTTGATGTGATCCCATTTCGGGGACAAAATCACCAGTCTATGCAGTGGGTAATGCAGTATCGCGATTGTGCATGCGTCTTACCTTGAAGCATCACTCCGGCATTCATTTGCCCATTCATCCATTCATCCCACTGCTCAGGCTAATGGGGTTTTTAACCTACAGGAGGGGTTCTAACTCTCTCCGTTTACCCACCAGAATTTGCCCCGTCTCAAATAGATGACATTGCTCATGAGATAGTACCTTTCTATTATGATTTGAGAGGATTATAGCACAATTGATTAAAGGATTAAACGTCCTGATAACCCGTACAATAGCAATCACGGATCAATCTGGACAGTAGAACGGCCACTGGTGTACAGAATGGATAACTGAAACACTCCAGACAACTCCTGTGGTCTACATGCGTCCAGCACATATTACTCAATGACCTCCCTTACTCATTTTGGCAGATGACCTTCAAAGTCGCCAGAGAGGAGTCCCTTGTTCTTTTCTACACCTACCAAGAAACTACAAGTGCTGAGCCATATAGTCAGCCTACATGGGCTTCTAGAGACGGTGATTATAGTTTCCATATACCTCACAGTGAAAGGTACAGTTCACTTCCCACAATTTCAATGAATCCTGTTGTCAACGTGCCATTACGCACATTTGTCCCCATTCCCTTTAGCTTTAATCTAAAAACAGTGAGGAATGAAGAGACGTGCACTAATAATTTCAAGGTAAGTCAAATGCTAACCTTCAGATGGAGCGCACGCACGAGCGGCCTAAGCCTGCTCATTCAG